TCTTGGAAATATGAGGGATTTGTAGCCTGAAGAGGAACTCAGAGCACTTGCAGTCTCTTTCTGCACCTAGGTGTATGGTGTTATTAAGGTATTTTATTCTCTTCTAGAACAAGTCAAGAATTATACTGAGGCAAATCTTTTGTGGTAAAAGTACTGGATAATAAATCAGGGATCTCAATGCTTTCTCACAGATATTCTTATTGACCTTGGACAAGTATTTAAGCTGGAAACCATTTTAGGCAGTTCCTGTCTCTCGTTACAATCTCCAAAAGCACTCAGTCAATCGGATCCCCATATGCAATTTCATCCTTTAGGCACAACAATAATCACAGCCTCCCACTTCACTGAAAGTCTTTCATTTTAAAATTGAAATACCTTAGAGACAGGTCAAAAAATGTCCTTGTATTTCCCCAACCTATGCCTTGAAATGTGGGGGAGATCCACTCCATCCAGGTCTTTGCAGCAGGCTGTTAATTCCTCCAGAGCCTGACCTCAGATGCTGGGTTCAGCTGTTCCCAAACTCTGATAAACGTCAGGTCCAAATCCAAATCTGGATCCCAAACTTGTGGTATGGGCCCATCTGTACTTGAAAGCAACATTTAAAAAAAAAAGAAAAGAGGAAAGCTAAGATCATGAATATTTCTATTTGAATACTGCATACAACAGATTTATGAACTTAAGCAGTTACTTTTTTTCTTTGTGAAATCAAAACTACCACAGGATTTCCCGTCCATATATACCATATGCTTTTCCCAACTTTGTTTAAAATTCTTAGCGTCCCAATATGCTGAAGCTTCTGAGCACTACTGAGGTGTTGCAGGATTTTTTTGCAAGCTTTATCAACTTTGCAAACTGCACTACAGTCAAGAATTAACTTTTGTATAGGAAAAATGAATTTTATCTATTTATTTCTGCAATATGGTAATGAATGGTGAAAGCATCATATGCAATGGAGCCCTTGGGGAACAGCCTGAAATAGGATTAATTCTCCTAAATGACAGGAGTGTTTATTTCAGTGTAACTGACTTTGTGCATTGGGTCAAGAGATGCAAAACCGAGTCCTGCCAGCACAAGCCTTGCAGGATCTTTTGAGTACAATCTTCATTTATAGCCCAGGCAAAAGCATGACAAGTGAGACACCAACAACACTAAAGGAAACTTATAAATGTTTGCAAATTCGTTTTATGGATTAATGACCCTACACATAAGAATTGACATTTCCAGGACAAATCACTTCTTTATCCTACTGGTATTTCAGCAGTTTTTGCTTATGCCAAAGCAGGGGCGAATTTTTCCTACTTCAGATCAAACGAGATCTAAAATCTGGGAAGATTTAACAGTAAAATAAAAACAATGGGGATGTAAATGTTAACCATCTGCATTTGTCGCTGCTATTTCTTATGATGTGATATCTCCATCAATGGCATTATATTTTTGCTTTTGTTATCTCTCATAACTTTTCATTCTATAATGGTTAATCATTGATAAACAAACACTTTGACTTATAAAGTGGCAATCATCTTGTCTAAATTTAACTGTGTAAAAGTCAAACACCTACTCCAAGCTACTCGTGAAGGCTCCTTCTATAGATAGTGGTGACAGATTGGCATTTTCAGAGAGAGACTTATCCTACCTGTCTTACACACTTGTTTTAAGATGGGATTAATCACTTTGTGGAAGTACTTTCTTCTTTTTGTTTCTTTGGACTAACTTTAGTAAAAAAGCAGCGCACAAGTTTTGTTAACAAAAAAAAAAAAGGGAAAAAACCCCAAGAGATTATTTCAGGCCTTGAATTTGAATCCACAGAGGTATTTAGCCTCAAAAAGCACAGTTTCTCTAGGATGCAGAAAGTTTTCTCCTAAAGGCAGATGGGAAAAAGGAGGGTGGAGAGAGACAGGAGCACAGCCTTTATAATTGTATTTATCACCTGCCCCAACTCCCTGCCTTTAGGGCTGGTGAGAAGCAATGCTAAGGAGAACCAAGACACAAGGGAATAGCAGATTTACTTTACTCTGCATTGTTTTACCCAAAGAAACCATGGGGATTGTCATAGTTTCCCTCTGGATGGAATTCCAGTGACAGGAAGGTTTTCCAGGCTTTGGCAAGAGAAAAGGGCTGGCCAGCAGCTATTCTGCCTCAGCAGAAGCAAAGCAAAACCAGCATCTCCCTTTTTCACATGAGATCAGCTCCAGCTCAACACAGGGAGGGACCACACACCAACCATGGCTTCAGGACACGAGCCTTAGGAGGCAATTCATCGGAAACTTCTAATACCCTTCACATCATTCAAATGAAAAGATGCTGATGCTGAAGAGGGGAGAAACATTCTTCCTGGCGTCTCTCCATTTGAAATTCTGCTACAGTGACAGTATCTGGATTAGACTCCAGGACAGTATTTCTGAAACAGCAGGAACCCTGCTTACTGCATCAGTTTTAAATTATAAGCCTTCCAAAGATGTCAACACCACTTTCCTGGAGACTTTCCTGAAATTAAAACACTGAGCTTTTCCCCTGAGCCTTCACAGAGTCCTATGGATCCATCGCCCGGTGTCACCGTTCGTACGGTGATTTGCCTATGCTGGGTCACTGCTACTACTTCATTTCTGCTCTATAGTCAGCCTGGCTCTTTGATGTTACTCAGTCACTATTTCCTTTCCCTTTACTTTTATCTCTGTCCTGGCATTCTTCCTTTAAGCATCCTCTCTACCAGATGGTCTCCATCTCTCCTTCAGAAGTGCCCAAAATATTCCTACTGCCTCCTCTTGATCTTCCCCCAGCAGCAAACCTCTTCATCCTACAGAGCTCAAATACCAATGGATTTCTCCTCCTTGCTGCTTCTTTCTTGCACTTTGAAAAGGAATTCACTGGAAGCAGCTAACCTCCAATCCTCATTATGCACGATGCACTCATTTATAAGAGTTTACCCAGGAGAAAAATTCAGACGGGATATAGGCTGCTACAATTGCGTTTTTTCAAGTGGAAGCACATCTGATGTCTGCGTGCCGAACCGGAGCTCCAGTTTTTAAAACAGGAGCTCCAACTTTTGCATTTGGAAATCCATATGGATCCTTTAATCTGAAGGTCAAAACAGCTTTTTATGAAAGATACTGAAAACAATGATACTTTATATTCACCAGCATAATTATATAAAGATGATTCAATATCGTAGTATCATCAGAGGATTCAGAAAAGTCTCTGTGTTATGTTTTTTTAAGATAGGGTTTAGACAGTGTAAGATGAGGCTTCAGAAGTTTACAGAGAGGAAAAAAAAATTCTTGTCACAATTTATATCTTCCTAATAGGTCACTGAAACTCTGAGGATAACAATTGCTTTTACTTGCAGTTGGCAGTGCACTATAATCAAGAATAAAGCTCTAGATATTTTTGTAGAAGTACAAGCACTTACTAAAATGCAGCAGCATAATAATGTATTATATATTATACAAATACAGTGAGGTGGGATTTGTGTTTGTCTCTTTGCAAGAGAAGAAAGAATTCTAAAATGACCTTCTGTTCATAAGTTTCTTTGAAAAAAGCTTGGCCTGAAACCACTTCACTACTATTGATATAGTCTGTTTCTGTACATAAATCTTAAATGTAAGCACAGCTTCAAAAAATAACTAAGCAATCGCAAAGCTTTACTTTTCAGATTCAATTGCCTTCAAATCCTTTACTGAAGTCCCCTTGGCACTGTCACTTCAAACTCAGGATAATGCTGCATAGTGTTTCTCAGTTTCAGTAAAACAAAAGCCTTATTGAATAAATATGTGTGAAAATGTTGCAAACAGAACCATCTCAGCAGCCACCACCTGACCAGGCTGTGGTGACCCTCCCTGGTGACCTGCGTGGGCTCGGCTCTCGACTTCTTGGCTTATCCCAGCCCTGCTAAATTCCACTGTCTTTGTCCTTAAAACTGTAGCAAAACACACGTTTTCCTCCCAGAAACCTAAGAGCAGCCTTTAGACATCAAGGAACAGCAAGGTGACCTAGGATTTCCATATGCAGGAAGCTGCTGATCAAATGGTATATCCTTTTTTTTTTAATCTGCTTCTTGGATCGTGAATACAGAGGAAACCTTGTGGTTCTGCTAATCCCTTAACTCTGGGTTTGTAAGGAGAGCTTGCAACATTACCCCAGTCTTGGAAACATAAAGGCAGAGTAAAATATCCAGTATTTACTATTTCATGTCTTGTTCTGCCCTAAAAAAGGATGACTCAGGAAGGTTTTTCCTTTTTCTGCACATCATCTTCTGCATATCCTACGTTTTTCCCTGTAGTTAAAATATTAGCTCAGGCCCACAGAACCCGTTATTGCAGAGAGACAGCCCCACATGCCAATGTCCGTGTGATCAGGTTTCAGGGCTGTGAGCTCAGGTATCCAAACCCCTGAAACCAGAGTCACCCAGCAATTAACTCCTGACTTTTGGGCACTCCTAGTTGGCAGGAGGCACACAAGTAGTGCTGGTTCACAGCCGACTGCACCAAACAGTCGCAAATCAGGACAAGGTCCACTGAATTAGATTTGATTGTCCTTTCAGAAAGGCTGTCCTATTAATTTGCTGCAATTTGTATTTCACTTTGTTGTCAAAGAGCCTCAATAGAGCAAATAATCTCACAAGAAAATGTAGCAGGTGAGGTAACAGAGATTTTTCTTTTCTTGTGGAAGGGTCGTTTCAACATGTTTGCTCTAAAAAGCAAGAATTGTTGTCAATTCTATTTCTGGCTCATTAAGGCTAGTTAAAAAATAATTACAAAGCAATTATTGAAAAGCTACCTCTAAAGCTGCAGAATAAGAAACAACAAACAGGCCGGTTATAACAAGTACAAAGAACTGCTGTAAAATTAAACCTGTTGAGTTTTAAGTACCAAAAATTGAGAGAGACACCAAGTATTCAGAAAATATCCAGGTTCTCTCTGAAGACCAGAAATATCCAGCAGGAATCACAGCACAAACTGGTAGCTGGGTTGAGGTATTGCAATTTTATCTCACCTGAACACAAAGTGGCCCCAGCTCTGCCCAACCCTCTGGCAATTCTGTGTCTGTGAAGCCAATGCTGGATTTCCCCTCAATCCTTCCATTTCTAAACCTCTCATTTCCACAAGCCCAGCCAGCAGTGAGCAGAGCCCAAATCAGGTGTGCAGAGCCCAGGGAAGTGGCCTTGACACGGGCCAGGGTGAGGAGGGCAGCCTTCACTTAATAGTGGGACAGCTACAAAAACCTGATGCTTCACACTTCACACCGTGATGGGAAGCAGATGTCCGAGTGCTCGCTGCTAGAAAGGGCAGATTAAAAAAAAAAAAAAGGAAAAAAAGAAAAGAGCAGTGAATAAATGCTACAAATTGAGGTAGGGTCAGCTCTGCAATGTAGGAGAGCAGGCTAGACAGAGGCAGAAATAATTTTCTTGCAGATTAGAAGCAGATAAATGAGAGAGAGAAAGAAGGAAAACATGCAGTACAGAAAGGAAGATAAGAAAGAAGCTGTTCATCTTATGTATGGGAACCAACTGCTGCATATGTATTTCCTATGCAGTTTTAGTAACTATCCCCAAGATGTTAATCTGAAACACTTTACAGGAAGTGGACCATCTATTTAATTTAAAATGTTGCTTGGAACACTGCAGGATTTTCAAATAATTCAGTTAAAGCACTGGACACTCAAATCTGCTCAGCAAAAAGGCTCCAGCCAGGATTTTGAATTTCACACATAGATGTCTTACTTAGGAAAAAAATGCATTTAAGCATTCAATTGAGTTGTTTATACTTGCATTTAAGCTTTTTTTTCTAAGATAACTGTTTACTGACAACATCAAATATAAATTACACATGCATGATTGAGGGCATACAGTCACCCACCACAATTAGTGAGGGTGGGCACATGCTAAGCCCAAAAATAGGGGGTATTTCCAATGGAATTAATAGAAAAATAAACAACCTGCAAACCAAGGTGAATTCTTGTTCATAAATTAACACAGAATAGCCCAGTGGGAAATGTGACGTGCAGTTTTCACACATGGCAGAAGTTTGCTGGTGGTTGTGTCCATTAAAGGTGAAGGCTGTGTTACCAACAAGCACGTTTTCATCTGGCCTTACACTTAGAAATAACAGTAAAAATCAAACACAAACAGTTATTTTCTTCCTTTTGGGATTTGGCACATGTGCTACAACAGACATAGATGGAAACTTCTAAAATAAATTAAGGAATGTACTTGTCAGTTTATTAATCAAAGTTTACCTGCTTCACATTACACGGAGACAAATTAAACAAGCTACCACGGTACTCGGAAAACATCTGCTAACAAAGTCAGAAGTAATGATAAACAAACTTGAGTTCCCTTTGTGGTTGATTTCCATCCAGCTGCATTTAATTATAAAAGAGCTATCAAAGAAAGCTCCCCATTAGCAGCTAATTCAGAATGACTTCAGAAGAAAATCCCAGAGCCTCCAGGTGATATCTCTCCAACAACTTTCTCATCTCTGCAAGTGATTGAGAAGAGCTGAATTAGACCAGTTTAGTGATCAGTCCTCCTGCTAACTGCCAGAGTAGAATGAGGATGATATATCTTTTCAGTGACTGCCTGTTTTCAAAGTAGGACCTATAAGATGTAGCAGACTCTTCCTTGCAAGTAATCTCTGCCAAAAGTGCCGGTGCCAGCCAGAAATACAGAGATAACCCTGAAAATTGCTGTATGCATTTTCTGAAGCAGAGCAGCTGCTGATATCAGGCAGAAAGGGAGAAAATTTGTCGCTACAAGTTTTTTAATAAAGTTTCTTTGACTTGGGTATCTTCCACAAAGGAATCAAAGATATGGGCATTTATAAATATCTAATTCTGGTTTAGAGCAATCAGGAATTTTTGTGTTGATGTAATATATAGTCCCAGACTCATGCTCTGAACCAGATGGCAACAGCCTTATTACGGTTTTTAGTCTTTTTAAAATTAATTATAAATTAATAAAGTTATTAAAATATAGCAGCCACTCTTAAAAAACTTTTAAAATAATGAAAAAAAGCAAATACACCAGTCTTCCCCTGTAACTTCTTAAAATTGAGAAAATTTGGTAATTTTATAGATAGATAACCAAAGCCAAAAAAAGTGAGAGGTTTTCAATGCACCCAGATTTATCAGGAATTTTTATAAAATTCCATGAAGACCAGCACTAATCACAAACCCCAAAAGAGCTCTGTGTACCCAGCTCAGTAATGCACAAGTAATTTGTAGCAAATTCCAACTGGGGGCTTTGGACAACAATGCTTGATAAACCATAGGAAGATTTTTCCTTTTCTTCCTCCCCTGCCTTATTCTTTCCGTACAAGACAGCAATGGGTAATTCTTGCCTGAAAGCTCACTGCTGCCTGGCCAGCAAGCAAATCTGAAATCAAAAACCCCGTGTGCCAGATCTGCACAGCTGTATTTGTGCTCCCGCGGCTCCCGGAGGAGCGCACACCACATGTCGGCTCCTTGACTTGGGGTGGGTTGGTGAGGTGTAAGTTAAAAGGGCAGCTGTACACTCCGGGAAATTTTCCAGATTCATTTTCTACCAATTGCTTTAACAACACCACAAGCCACTCCGGGTTGGGATGCTGGGCAGCACAGGTAGGAAATAGGAAAAGTGTTGCTACAGCTTATTCTTGATCCGGTCCCCCAGCTCTCTTGAAAAACTTCTAGGATCCTTATAGAGAAGTTTTTTTCCCTGCAAGAATAAAGGGGTTGGCTCTGATTGCTGCTATTCTAAGAGGTTAAGGGAAGAAAAGAAATTGTTATATATCCACATGGTAATCAACCAAGGTTTCGTGCAACTGTTGCTCTTGATGTGGTTCTTCCAGACTCTTCCAGAAAAGAGTTTATTGATGTACCTGGCCTAGAAGTTGGAGAGCCAAAGGAAGAAAATGATAACACAGTTTAGCAAACCCTTTGTTTACATAAACATCCATCCACAATCTGTGTCTGGTGGGGTGAACATACGGCTTTAATTTTACCCTTGGCACACGGATCAAACAATGTTGCCAATATCTATTGTTCTCCTCATAACAATATGCCTGGTGGTTTCAACATATCCTCTCCATTAGCTGGCTTCAGATCAAGCATTGCTGTGTATGTGCTTGTGTCTCCATAAAACTGGAATATGGATCTCTTTTTCTTGCCTTCTTTGTACCAAATGTGTCAGGAGGAACACAGTTGAGAATGGTGGTCAGCCGTCCCCGTGAGTCATGAGAACAGCTCGCCTCGGAATGGAGCAGGCACCGGGTGGGAAGGAAGGGTTGGATTGGATTTGAAAAGCCATGGCCATGTAGCTCAGGCTTTTCAAAATACCAGAGGAAGTGGTGAGTCAGATCCTTATCCCTTTTTATTCGGGCTTTAGCAAACCTTTCTGGATTTGGTCCATCTCTGATCCACATGAGCCCTGCTCTGGAGCATGGACACACCACAGGTGGCTAGGAAAAGGGTGATTGGACCTGATTTTCCTTGGATTTTCCCTCTCCTTTCTATTTTTCAGTTTCCCTTCCTTTCTATTTGCTGCCATAATAAAACTCTTTTTTTCTATTAGAAATGTCCAGGTTTTATAGAGGCAGCGTTAACAGAGGAGATTGGGATCTGAGGAATTCCACAAGAAGAAACTTCCAATGGACTCCCCGAGCCAAGGTAGCTCATCAACTCCATGCTGATCTTCTCAGCTCCTGCCTCAGCCTCTGGAGCAGCAGCACTGCTTTCTTATGCCTCTAGCAGCAATCAAACTTGACATTTCTCCTCTATATTGTACTGTGTTTCTGTCCATTCTTCCAAAGGTTTGATCCAAAACTCACTCCAGTCAGTGGAAAGAATTTCATTGCCTGGAATATAGTTTGGGCCTGGGACCTTCTTTCCATCTGATCACTAATGCCTGATTTATATTTGATTATTCAAATGAGAAAATAGAGCTTTCTGATTTCTCTGGCGCTGTTTTCACAGTAATGGAGGAAATCTTACTGAAGAAATATTATCATTGGTAAAGACAGCAATTATATCTGTGCCATTCAGAGAACTGACTTTGGTGGTTTCTTTCATTCATGAGATCTTGTTTTCTAAGGCTGAAAGATGATGTTGGAGAGGAAGTGGCTGAGAAGGGTTGATGGTGCCTCAACCATTTCTCCTGCCTGGAGCAGAAGCTGCTGCTGGGGGTGGCAGTGTCCCAACAGCCTTGGTTGCTCTGGGGCTCTGCATGTGGCATAAAAAGATGAGTGAAATCTTGTGGGAGCTCTGCAAGGAGGCAGCTCTGGGAGATAGCACAGTGGTGATCAGCACCACCAAAAATAGGGCTCTGCAGGCCTTTTTTTTTCCCATGCTCTCATGACACTCCTCCTCACTGAAAGTAGTAATTCTGAAAAGCTTCAGGGTTTATTCAGTATTTCTGTTCTTCCTGCTGCACCGTTTCTCCCTTGCCTGTTTCTCCCCAGTTCTGATGTTTTACCTTCTGAATATGCTGAATCCAAGCCCAGTGTTTGAATGATTTCACTGACCCTGCTGTTCTGCATGCCAGCACAGATACATATCTTTTAGGTTTACTTTTATCTATGCTAATTTCACTTCCCCCTCACGTTTTGGAAGCAGAGAGCCACTGCAAGGCTTCCTGTGCATCCCAGGCTACGATTTAAGGAGTTTTAAGAAGAATTAAGCTTGATGCTGCTCGTGCTCTCATGTATATTCAAGCACAGCTTTTGGTCTCCTCACCACACATGTGCTCCAGCCTGTTCTCGACTGTCACAGTGATAACATTTCTATATAAACTCATTCATTAAGACTATCAGGCTGTAATTATCTCTGCTGGGCAGAACGAATGCAGGTTTCCCCCTGTAATGGCATGGCAAGAGAAGGAGAAGAGGGGGTAGAGGAGCACTCCATTTCTTTTTCTTTTTTTGGAATGACTCTTTTGCTCTGAAAGCCATGGAAGTTCTGGCATTACTGGAAAGCCTAAAAGTAACATCCAGGTTGTAACCCTTAGTGACTGATCCCATCAAGATGCAGAATCCTTCCCTGAATTAATAATGTGGTCTCTATAATTTTGATACATATTTTTTGGTCAAACTAAAACTAGGGATATATTTCCCTATATATTTCCCCTAAAAACACCTGTGGGAGGTGGGAACACTGGGAGTCAGCAGGAGAACAGACTCCTGTATAATTCAGGCCTTATGTGGAGAAAAAAGCAGTGCATTAACTTTGAAATTGTATAATACTGCAGATTTATTTACTATAGAATTAATTACCTTCCTTGAAGTAATTAATTACCTTACTTGAAGTGGCACTCATTGACACATGATATTTTGTCTAATTCTCCACTGTGCATAAAAATGCAATATATTGTAATATAAATTGTAGCTGCTATTGCTTTAAACACCAATTTAATCAAGGGGTTTGACAAATGTAACCATAGACTGATTACCTTTTTTGTCAGTATTTTATGTTAGGACTTTGTCAATTTTACTATCAGTTTGATTTCATTCTGAAATGGCAAATTATAGTCATAAAAATACTCTTGTCCTAATCCATGCAGTTTAAAAAATGTTTAATCCACCCCATCCATTGCTACATTAGGCATAGAACATAATTTGAATTTAGATGCAGTGAAAATTGCACAGCTCAATGCAAGCACATGGGTCAAGCATCAGGGTTACTAGAGGGTTACTACAGGGTTATGTTGGATTTGGTTCTCCTGTCTGTGTCCAGCAGTTGCTGGAGCTCTGCTTGGGATAGATTTGAGGAATGGAAAGACCTTTCTGACCAAACATCCCTGGTGAACTCCAAAAAGGCCTGAAAGTCAGGGAATTAAATCAGTATTAAGCCAAACTGAAGCAAATGCTGGCATATAATTAACAGAGCATTGTCAAAGAGAGCTCATGGTTTAATTTTAGTGGGGAAAATATGGTATCTCAGATACCATGATATGGGTGTTTGTTCACAGCCACTGTACCTGTCAACTATTATTATCCTGATGCAGCCGTGTTCCCTGAACTGTTTTGATTTCTTAACAAGAAGAGAATTTTCTCTGATGTGCCATCTGTAAGGCACAGTTTACCAAAGGAAAACTTTATCTCAAATTTTTAATAATTTTCTGTCAATTCCAATAAAATCAGATATATTTTTATAATACTTACAAAATAATAGCAAATGTGACTCACCACATGTGCCACTATTTCATTTGATATCCTTCTTCTCCCACTGACTTTTCTTTCCAGCACAAAATGCAATTTAAATGTCAACTTGAACTAAAAAAAGTTACATTCCTGGGGAGATTACTGGTATCTCATACAATCTGAAATAATTCTACTTCTTTCCACTACTTTACCTGTTTTCTTCTATTTTAGCCTCTCATTGTGAAGGCTCTAAAATTAACAAAGGGTGGAAGCGATGAAATAATGCACTTTTTGTTTGCATATAAGTGACAGGACAAGGCATAAAATTATAGATTGGTTTGGGTTGGAAGGGACCTTAAATCTCATCCAATTCCCTGCCATGGGCAGGGACATCTTCCATTGTCCCAGGTTGCTCCAAGCTCCATCCAACCTGGCCTTGGGCACTTCCAGGGATGGGAAGCAGCCACAGCTTCTCTGGAAAATTTTTGCCAAGTCCTCACCACTTAATTTCTTGATAATATCTAATCTAAATAGACAAAAAAATGCTCCAAATCAAATGTGGACAGAGAATGTCCACACATGAGGTGAAAGTCTGCTTTGCTCTGTCCAGAGATGTTGGGCTTGGGAAATTCATTCAGCATTGTGAGAGCATTCACATTTTTATATTTTGGATTTACCTGGAGACTTTCAGGTTCTCCTAGGAAAGTATCATTCCTACCAAAGGTGTTTGCACTCTCCACAAGGTTGTTTTTCACTGGGGCAGCAGCACGGGCAGTGGATACAGGACCCACCAGCCTGGATTTTCCCTTCTGGGACATGGCACAGGAGACTTCTCCAGCTCAAGCTCACTGTCACATAGTCAGGAAACATGATGGCAACTAACTGCCCTGCCTTGATGCCAGAGTTCAAATCCCTTCCCTCAATGCTGAATTTATATGCATTTTTCACTTCCATAAAAGCATCTTAATCCACAACGCCAGAGAGTTGCCATGGTCTTTCTTTCCTAATGATCCCTCTTTCTCTGCTGAATGTCATCCTCAGCTCCCTGCAACGTTGCACAACAGGCATGGGAAAGCTGGGAAAAGGTTTTGCTGACATCAGTTAGACGTCAAAAAGTTTAGTGCTGAGATTTAGCCCTAATCTCTGTGTCTTAGTTCCTTAATTCCAACACTCCTGGTGCCCCCCAGTTTGTGAGAACACACAATAAAGACTGAAAAAGAGAGCTCCTCCATTTTTTTAATCATAAGATTAACTTGGACTGTTCCCCTTCAGGAGAAATGAGGATTTTGATATCAAGCAAACTGAGGAATCACTACTGCCTGACTTAGGAAAGATGGAGATGGTTCAGCCTAAATGAAAATTAGAGGTTCAATATGTCAAAGACACCAAAAGCACCATGAAATGTAGGAAGCAGGCTCAGGTTCAAAACTCACCTGGAATTGCCATGGGAAACATTTGCTGGAAAAACCATCTGGAAAAATTCCTCCAGCAGAAGAGTTCTTGGTCTGGGCCCTTCATCCAGTCTGAATACAGAATTTTCTTACAGACACAAAAGGTTCAGCTGTGCCACAGATTTTCAGGATCTTGATGGTATCTGCAGGAATAGACAAGACCTGCATCAAGAAAAGTTCACCAGGAGATTTATACAATTATTTTCTAATGAAATTATTGAAAATTGGGACTAGAGTCAAGTTCTGTATACTCACATTGAATTCAAGGGCCCTTTGGATACCTGAAAACCCACTCTTCCGTTCTTTTTCTGGAATTCTGAGCATCATTCACCACTGTCACCTGACTTTTGAAGCAAACAGGTGATGACATTTTTAGCTCTCAGCTTTCATTCTACCCTGCAGTAAAAACCCATCCTTTGCAGAGAATGGGATATTATCTTTCAGGAAAAAAAAAAAAAAATAACAGGCTTTAGGATGCATTTTTTTGCTCATTTTCAGAATCAATTTAATGAAGATAGATATATCTAAGGTATAGATATACAGATATATCTTCCCAAGAGGAAAGGTCTCCTGCAGCCCCTGTATATTCCAGAGATTTGTAGGGTTGCTCTGCTCCACAGATGGATAAAGAGCACCTCGTACTGCCTGTATTTACCTCTCAGAGGTGTTGGAGGCTGTAATTAATTACTGTTTGTAGAACCCATTGAGATTGTTAGAGAAAGGCACTAGAGAGCGAGTGGTGTTATAAATTATTACACTTGAAAACGTTCAAACTCTTCAGCCTTCCACTGCTCGCCTTCGCACAAACGAAGCATTTCCCTTTCTCCTCCTGGAATAAAATTTGCCCTCTTGACATGCACAAACCATTAGAGAGGCTGTGCTTACAAGCACCTAACAGTATTTTCTCAAGTTTATTTTGACATTGACTTTTAATCAACGTGACGATGATTGAAAAAGCCAGTCCAACGTTTCACTAAAAGGAATATTAAAAGTGCATTGATTGTGTCTGCAAAGATATGCAATTAAAAAGTATAAGTGCTGTTATTTAACACTTGACTTTACTTATTTTGAACTCTTGTGGCCCTGTTGTGTACATGGTTAAATGTGCAATGCTGTGTGTTTCAAGCAACTTGGCTGTAAGCAATTTTATATTTTAATGAAAATAATTACAGTTTGAGTAATATGAAGTGTATCTGAAGTATAACCCCTGATGCTACTTCCCCAGAATTAGCTGTGATATAAATTATCATGATTTATTACAGCGACTCTGTGCTTTATGTGTTTATAGGGGATCCTGGCTAGCAATGATGATTCTTAACTAACAAAGAATTGCATTTCAAAAGCAATTTTTTCTTGGATCTCATCTGTAATTCTTCCCCAAAAGTGATATGATTTAACTGTGCTGCAGTATGTGCTATTGCAAAGATGGCATTATTGTGCTGTCATTTTGACAGCTTACTTTAATTTACACCATTTAATGGGTGAATACATTTTTTAAAAATCTGGTGTTATTCTTTCTTAATATACCATATGCCATCGATCCCACATGCACTTCTTTGCATAAGCACACCAAGTTACAGAGTGGTATAAAGCAACCTATGTGTCATGTACAACCTCTCCTTTGAGTGACACATCAGAAGCTCAGGTCCTCTCTGTTCTTCAAGGATTCTGTGGATCCTGTGACATTTCTGAGCCTCGAGCTGAAATATGTTACACGATACGTGATGTCCCCACTGGCATCTGTCCACCTCAGAGATGGGCACTTTTCAGATACACTGTACAAAAATAAATTTCTGAATGTCATTTGCCTTTGCTAAAAGCAGCAATATAGAAAGTGTAAAGACTGCTGTAATTACATTACTGCAAAGGCCGGTATCTGCAGCAGCTGGTTTCAATTCCAACCACTATTTTAAAATCTTTGGTCAAACAAAATCTCTTCCAGCTCCTGACACATTTTGCCAGCTAATGGTAACTACTCATCAGCACGGGCAAAGGTTGGACAATCATCCCCTTTGTCTTCTTTTGGGGAGGGCAGCCCGATCATTCCTGCCTGGGGAATTTCAGGGTCACCTCCAAAGGAAGCAGAGAATACAGGGGTTTGATCCAGGCCTGTCCACACCTTTCCCATGAATGTACCCCTCACCTCAGCTTCAGTAGGGCTTTCCCATCCAGACTCCTTTACTTAGCCTGTTCCTAAAGGATTCATTCAGATACCACCAAGGCCAGGCTGGACAGGGCTTGGAGCAGCCTGGTCTGGTGGAAGGTGTCCCTGCCCACACAGGGCTTGGAACAAGATGAGTTTTAAGCTCCCTTCCAACCCAAACCACTCTATGATTATATTATTCTACCCATGTTACTGCTCAGAGGATGCCACTGAGAGCAATCCCTCCTCCTCAGGATGATCTGTCACCCTGGGTTCACGTTCTGTGTGAAAGCATCTCCACAGCTCCCAGGTCACACCTGGCTTTTCTCTGCCTTGCTTGGTTCACAAAAAAAACCCTCTGCTGGTTCACTCAGCAAAGCCTGCAATCCTGGCCCAGCAATAATCTCTGAAGGCTTCAGAAAATCTGCTGTGGGACGTTATCTCAGTAGAGGAAAATTTCGTTTGGGAAGCAGCCCAATTTAAGAAAACAATTTCATGACAGCGTGGAAAGCAGGCTGATGAGCTCCAAGAACTTAACTTTATTTGGTAGACTTTTGTCTGCCTTCCAAGGGCACCTAAGAGTTAAATAATTTAAGACTGTAAGAAAAACAACAAAAAAAAGAAGATATCATAGTTATTCCATTTTCCTGTTGCAAATATTATTTTTGGACAGAAGTGCTGCAAATAAAAGAGCAAGACGAGCTAAAGATTTTAAGCAAGAGGTATCCAAGGTTGAAAAGGATTTTGTTGACATGAACTGAAGAAATACAACATACCTTTATACTTACTTAGCTCTTTGATGTTATACATGATACCCAGTATGGCATTACAACCAACTGTACATGTCATAAAAGTACAGAGATTCCATGTGGAGTGAACCTGCAGTGAATTAATGCGTCTGTCAAGGTGTATCCTGAAATGTATTATACCATCCTTGCCTCAAATTCCAGTTTGCATATTCCCTGCAACTCACATGACGAGGGACAATAAATCATCCCAGCAAAACCAGGAAACAGATTATTTTGAATTCCACCCCACTGATTAACAGTAGATTTGGAACGAGAAATCATGTGAAATATTTAGAAAATTGTGTGCTTTTTAATAAATGATAGCCATTGTGGAAAAGTATATAATTCTCTTTTTTTTCCATGTTAATTTAAGACAGTAGGGTTTGGATCTGGAACACAAGTCTGATGAGGAGTGACTGAGGGAGCTGCAGAAAACGAAGGTCAGGGAACATTTATAACTCTCTACAATCCTATGAAAGAAGGTTTTGGTGAAGGTGGGCTCAGTTTCCTCTCCAAGGTAGCAAGGGACAGGACAAAACAGCCTCAAATTGCACCAGCTAAGGTTTAGGTTGGGTATTAGGAAAATGTTTTTCATGGGAATGGTTGAAAAGTATTGGAACAGGCTTCCCAGGGAAGGGATGGAATCATCATCCTTGGAGTTTTCAAAAATAATGTGGATATTGCAATAGGGGAAATGGTTTAGGGGAAAACATGGCGGTGGTGCTGGGTTGATTACTGGATTTAAGGGTTTTAAAGGTCTTTTCCAGTCTAAATGATTTCACAATTACACCTGTGTCTCACCTAAAAAAACAAAAAAACTGCTGGGAATTTTATATGCCCAGAAATGAGGCATTTGTACATAACAGAGCAACAGATGCTGACAACTGACACACACTTCCTGCACCTACTGGAAAGGACCAACATCTCAAATTATCTCCAGGTGCTATGGAAAAGCTGCAGACCTCTGAACAGCAAGTCAGAAAACTGACACAAATGTGATTTCTTGGGGTTTTTATGCATTAGCTTGAGTGTCCACTTCAGACAGAAATATCAAAGTGAAACAGTAAAGAAAATGCTGCCATTGCTATGATTAGGAAGGGGTTTTAAGTTATAACAATTTTTTAATCATTATTTTTTGCAGAAGACATCTCTGAGATAGGATTTGCACTGGATTTTCTGTAGAAATAGAGAAGTTGCATATTTTAAATCTCTAGCAGGAATCCTACAGAGCAGAAGGGGCAATGAACACCAACTCCCTCTCTCTGCAGTGCAAAAGGAGCAGATGAGAAATTTTACAAGTTGGACACACGGCCCCTTGACCTGTGTGATACTGGATAACCCTCTGCAGTGTCAAGCCACGGATCATCTTACCTGCTGCTGCAAAACAGATTTCCTTATGTGCTTGGAAAGGACATTTCCCTTGTCTGAGAGAGAATTCCTGTCCTGTTTCACCTATGGAAGAAAATCATGACAAAACAGAACCTAGAAACAAACCCCACAAACAGAAAGCTAAACAAACGCAAAAAACCCCAAAAATAGAACAAAGAGAAACTTTACAAAAAATTGAACACAACCACCCAAATATTTCCCAAACCAGACTTAAAAAAAAATATTTTTGTTACATCCACCCCTCTTTCAGGGTGGAAACGTGTTAGAGTCGCAGATGCTAAAAATTTTAGATTTTCTATACTAACAAATTCCAACCCCCAAGGAAACACTACATTTAACCTAAAGCCATAAAAATAACTTTCCAAAATTAATTTATAACACTAAAATTATAAATATATAATTGAATTAAAAATATATAATATCATGTAGCAAAAACTTAAAGCTTAAAATTTTAGAATATAAATGTAATATATATACTATATATATGTATAAAACAAAATAAATTTTTAAAAACAGAAACAGAGCTCTGGAAAGTGCAGCAGAACTGAGAGGCCCTGATGGAAAGGAGAGTTTCTGGGCACTGAGAAAAGCATTGCAGCAGTTTGGTGCTGTATCATATTTGTTTCTGATGGATTTAGCTGGTCAGCCCTCTTCCTCCTTCCAGGCAACACATGCACACTGATCTACAGCTCACACATATGGTCACCAGCATAGAGGCAGCAAATGCCAGATCAGATAGAGAAAGGGTGAATTTAAGAGATTATAAATGTCTTTTGATAATAATATATATCCAATACTGTCACTAATGCAAGAGTGTCCAAAGACAATATGAACACTTTTCTCCTCTTTTATACGATCATAAGAAAATAATTTCAGTTCTCCTTAGGAATGGCTTTGCTGTATTTTTAAAAGGTGGTTAAAGAGGCAAAACAATTTTCATTCTGAATCTCTAAGGAGAACCATTGCCCTAGTGAATATCAGTCAGAAAGGTTCTTTCCTGCCATGAGGTCAGGAAGAGGTGAAACCTTTTCGTGGGAAGGAGGACAGGGATGTTGTTGGTGCAACACATCCTGGCTGTCACACGGAGGGGGAGATGGAGCCCTTGTGAAATCACTTCTGTGTCACCTCTAAACTGTGTCCAGCCCCCTCTTTGTGGTTTCCAACACAAGTCCAGCTTTATGTATCTGCAAAAACCCTCTCACAGAAGCGTTCTCTTCAAAGAGATGCTGAGATTTGTTCTATCAGATAATGCTGCAACCCTGTCTAACGCAACACATAAAGAAAGAAGGAATTTCCCTAAAAAACATTCCAAACTCCTCTTTGTGCCACCCACACGTGCAGCCATGGCTGAAGGACAGAACTGCATGTGGCTGGGGCCTGGGGAGGAATCAGCCCAGCCCAGGCTGCCCAAGGCAGAGCAGGATTCACCCAGGGCCTCCCTTCCCTCCCCAGCACAGAGCTCAGAGCTCCTTGGGTGTTCAGCACAATGAAAACCTGGCCACAAGATTTAAAATCAAAGGCACTGAGTTACACACCCTGCTGAAAATCTGGCGCTTTGCAGGAGTGTCGAAATGCTTCTGGTCAAAATATGGCCATGATCACTAAAATATTCAATTGTTTTTCTTAATCAGCAGGGTTTATTCACATAAATAATTTTACTGACTCTGCTCACAGGAAATGCTAATTTTGTGTCACACTGGGAAGGACTTCTAAGACCTAGGAGACAACCTTGGCATAAATGGCATAAATATTGCAAAGACAGAGCTACCTAAGACTGTATCACCACAGATTCAGTGGATGCAAGCCAGAGTCAGTGCTAGTTCTGCAAATTCTTCTGCATCACCTCATCAGTGTGTGGGAGCAAGAGGTAGACTTGTATCCCTTGGAAAATATGCAGAAGCAAAGAGATGGCAGAGAGAAAAAGGGTGATTTTAGCTTAGATTATCTTTAAGGACATTTCCAACCCAAAACTTTCTCTGTATTTATGAATGTATTTATAGAACGTATTTATGAAGCACAAAACAGTGACACAGTGCCTGAGAAAGGATAAAAAAATTATTGCTCTATGAGGTTTTTTTTTTTGTTCAGCTTCAAAGAAAGAGTCACCCAGTTGAGACACTCAACATTTGAGTTTTAAAAGAATGTTCTGGGATGATGGACCCTCATTAAGGGATTAGATCTATAATTAATCAGCTAATGCAGATATACTCCAAGGCAAACCTCTGCTCTAGCATATTTGTAAAGCTTTTTCAAGCAGGGTTCTGGGTCAGACCAGACATAGCAGTCTTACAGTATTTTCTTTAAGTATTGCCCAGCCTTGGAAATACAGCTGAGCTTCTTGGATTCTTCTCATAAAGTGAAAAGGGCCATGTGTCTTGTAAAGACAAGCCCCAAGGGAACTGAGGTAAAGTATTTTTGTAGCCTTAACACAAATTTTCCTTGTGTTTATGACTTCATTATTATAGTGGGTGTGTTATTTCAGTGGGTTTTTCAGCTACTTATTTTCTATCTTCTTTATGGTTCTCTCTTTTTTTTTTTTCCCTGTCTACTTTAAATAAGGAAAATGGACTCAACAGATGATGCAGAGGTCTTTATAGCAGAGCTACTGGTTTTCATTCCTGTTTCCTGAACCTCAAAGAAGCATGTGCTTAAGATGCTCAAAGAATATTTTTGTAACATAATATTGAAGTTACTGTTGGTGTCTGGTCAGTGTAAGAGCTCCCCAAGTGAGCAGAGGTGAAAATTTTAGGCATCTATCTTCTGTTAAGTGTAGTGAAAGAGTTAAGACAAAATGAATTAAGCGAACACAACCGACAAGAGAAAAATTGTTTCTGATTAGCAGGAAAACCCAGGATTAGGATGTGGTTACTCTGTAATTGCAAAATCTGATCTTCAGTAATATCTGGCAGGATTTTAGAGAAAAAAGCAGTGAAAGGACTGAAAACTAATACTAAGCTCATTTAAGGTGAATTAATCCAAAATACTGGTCTCCATACCTATGGAGTTGGCCCTACCTCCTCAAAAACTTGGAATTGGTAGGATAGATGTGGTGGGGAACATCTGTCTGGCCTGGTCAGAGTGGTTTTCACAAAAATGCCCTTATTTCTAGGTACAGCTTCAGCCAAAATGCACAGAGACAGCAGCCATTGATTGAGCAGAGCTGGGCCAATGACCCATCCAAATTGTTGGGTTATTAATTATCACTTCTGCTTTACCTGATGTCAGCTCACTTGCCATATCTGCTTTACTGGTAGCTTGGTTGCCTAATTAACAGTAATTTGGATTTTAACTGAGCCTGTGAGTTCCCTGTAAAGCCTGTGCTTGGGGACCCCAGTGATCACCAAGTTGCTGGTCAAAGTTTTGATAAGAAGTAACGCTTGAGTAAATCCTGCAAGCCATCACCCTAAGGCAAAGTAATCTCATGGTAAGGATGGCTGAGTAAAATAATAGGAAGCATGGAGCTTTTCTCAAACCTAGAGCCAAATCTTTTACAAGACATGAAGTTCTCATTTTTCTTCTTTTTTTTTTTTTTCTGTTTTAATTTGTCATAGACTTTTTGTCCTCTGTCAGAAAAAAAAAAAATAGAAATACCAAAATATCAAGACAAAAGTTTGTTGTTGGATTTATGACATGAGAAAATCCAGAAGGAAAGGAGACCTCATGAGAAAGCCTGTTTGCACTACATTTTTACACAGCTTTCAAAGTGTATGCAATGGCAAAAAAAAAAGGTACAGAAGTTAAAAAACAATAAAACATGAGGAGTTTCTTTCCCTACCAAATCAAAAGGTGATACCATGTATTAGAACCTGACACAGTCCTGACTGCATCTTCAGCAAGAACCTGTTTCAGTTGTCCAGTGCTCAGTTCTTCCAGCTGGAGCTACCTCAAACACTCTCTTAATTTCACTCAAATACATTAAAAACATGATGGAGAGGTAAAAGTACCTACTACAGGCATAGGAAATGTTCAAGGCAACAGGCAGGAGTGAGTTCAAAGGAGAGCAGATAAGTAATCTGCTGTAGTTTATGTTTTCCTGTTTCAAAAAAAAAAGAAAAATTGTAAGAAAAAGATAAATGTCATAGATTTAATACATAAAAGAGTTTGCTAGGAAACACAAATGCATGACTGACTCAACACAGACTAGAGTGAGGAATACTGCCTTATGGATTTTCTTAAGGGGGAACCAAAAAAATGCACTTCCCCACTCAAAAAAATGCAACATGATTGAATTTCACACAGACAGGATTGGACTCAACATCAACCAAATAGAGGTGCACAAGGCAGGTCATAAAATTAAATAAGAATGTAAAGTCTATCACTCACCTCTCCTCTGTAGCTTGATTTCTCCTTTTGTTTCTTTCTGGTTTTGGAGTTTCAGAGAACATTGAATTTAAAATTTTCCTCTTATACACAGGACTATCCACTGCACTCTATTTATGCCACATTTCTGCTGAAGGACCTCAGCCTTCATGAAATAACCCAGTTCTTCTTGCGGGCCCTTTTGATTAGGCAGTCCTTATTGAGATCCAACTAGTAGAAAAATAAAAAGAAGGATATGTAAAAAGACATTGGTCACCAAAAAAATCAAAACAGCAGCCAAAGGTGCCTACTCTGCAAATGCTGTGGTTAGAAAATTGGAATCTCATGGAAACCAGCCTTGGGTTTGGGCAGTAGAGCTCAGCACTGGCTGTAAGTGATTTGTGCTGATGGTCTGGACCCGGCCATTGGGCTGGACAGAGTTTCTCACCCCTTCCTTTACCAAGAGAATTTCTGAGCCTCTTTCCATACGTGGTGTATTGCTCAGAGACCTGCTGCAATAGGGTCATGTGGGGCAGCAGCCCCATAAAGTGGATATTGGTGCCCCATTTACACATCCATCTGATTTTCCTAGAAAAGCACCAATGAGGGAAGCTGCTGCTCACTGAGCTCCAACAACCTACCCAAGGGTTAAAATATTGATCCTTACCTACAATATAACGTAGCTTGACATGTTTCATCAAGCATGTTGTTCTCACTCCAGTTCCAGAGCACTTCTCTGAAAAGTAAAAAAAGTGTAAAAAAAAACCTCCAAGATTGCTACTAACATGTAAAATATATTTAAATAAACCAAAATAGCAGAGGGAAAAAAATTTGTCGTAGCACAATAGATAATTTAACACCAAACTTTAAACAAATAGTGCCATTCGCTTTTGAGGCAGCAAAAAGAGTTTATTATTTCACTATTTCATCTCACCTTGTGTCATTAAAATATAGGACACAAGTAGTAAAACACAAAGTAAATATGTACATATCTTTACACCATGTAGGGCAGCTATAAATCTTACTCTTTGATAACAGCTGTACCACAGCAATCATTTGAGTAGTGCAGCTGCCACAACAATATCAAATTTTATAGTTAAAAGGCAGTCAAAACTTTAATGGTACAGTGGAGGTAGATGTATATTGTGCTATAAATAAACATTATCTAATGAAGAAATGAAACATGTTTATTTTTCCTTGACATATCGTTCAAAATCATATATCTCTGCTGCTGCAAGCTGCTATAATAGCAGCCATTATACTTCAGCATGTATAACAACAAGGTCTGCAGTTGGGCTAATTACCCTGGATTTAAATGAGGGATGGGGGAACTTCAGACAGCGTGGCCTTGCAGGCAAGGCTTTCATTTCAGCAGAGCAGTATCTTAAAATGTTATCAGGGCTAGCATGTGCTGGCAGAGGTTCTGAAGGGGCCGGGAATGCAGTGAGAAAGGAGTGGGTTTTTCCCTCAGACGATGACTTGTGCTGCGCTGCTGTGACAGGGTGTAATCGATCTGGGGAGCAGGGGACCATGAGAACTGATGTGCTGCTGCTTCAGTCACTGCCACATTACTCACATATGAAAAACCTCTGAAAGGATCCAAGAAAGCACATGTTTAGTGCAAGGCAGGCTCATCTCCCTCCTGAGGTAATAATGTGCCTGAAATGTGGTTTCCATGAATTTACTGAGGTTTCTGCTGTGCTCACATTCAGCCTAGGGATGCACTGAGGGCACCTATGGAGACATTCACCTCCTACACAAAGACTGAGTGAAGGCATGGGAATTATTTTAAACAAACTAGAAACATCTAATATTGAAGAGTTTTGAGAACGCAGCTCATTGTGATATGTAAGGAAAGGCCACAAATGTTCTAATGTCTAACGTTCAGGTGTGTGCTTGTGCAGGAATTTTCTCTTGAGTCAAGAGTCAAGAACTTCTGAAAGACATCTCCCAGTCCCTGCTGCCCATCTCATTGCAAAGAAGTATCTGGAAACCACTTGCTGGGTGTCCTTAGAATGGCACTAAAATGCTGGTGCACACCAAGGGCAACCCAAAGCATTCCATCAGTGCAAGGGAGCCAGGCCATAGGACACATCCAGTCCAAGGCTAGCCCCAAAAAACAAATGGGGTTGATTTGAGGTGCTCAGCATCAACTCCATCTCCACTGCTCACTAGGATCATTAAAGTTGGGAAAAACCTCTAAGGTCATTGAGTCCAACCATGAACCCAGCACTGCATGTACATCACAAACAAAGATGTTGCCTCAGATTACCAAATAAAAGACCAAAACCCACAACTACAGTATGTCACAAGATAAGAAAGAGAGCTGGGGGTGACAAGAAAAAAATATCCGGGGTTCCTGCAGCACCAGGGAAACTGGCAAGTAAAATTCATGAGCTCCATTCCCTTAAAAATCCTCCTTAGGAAGCTCCGATTCCCTTCTTCACATCATAAAATTCTCCCTGCCAGAAGGGAGATTGCCATCTTGCCTGGAGTTTGCCTCCTGTTCAGTGTGGGTTTCTCTGAAGGTGACACATGGACACCCTGGTGGGAATTGCTGCGACCCTGGGGAGCAGATCCATTGGAGAGCAAATCCCTGACAAACAGCTTATTAGAGTTAAACTTTGTGCGTGCCCACCACTGGAGATCCTCAGGGTGCTTTTGCTTACCATCAGCACAGCATTTATCCAAAAAACCCCATGAGATGCTATAAAATAAACCCAACAGCTGTTAGGAGAAGATGACAAATCCTAGACACCTTTTTGTCACATTGCAACCTATACAATTTAGTCCCTGTTTACAAACAAATTGCTGCTGAAAAATATTAAGTCCTGGCATTTAGAGAAGCTCTAGAAATTACTCACTCCCCTGGAATTCTGCATGACAAATTAAGACTACTCTTCTACTCCTAATAAATGTAGCTAGAGCAAAGTTTCATAAACATTCTTGAGATTTCTTCTGTAACAGCTTTATTTTGGCTCCTCACTTTTCCTGCTTAAACAAATGGTAAGGTTGGCTGATATTGTCAAAATACAGCACTTCTCATGAACCAGGAGTCATTTATTAATGTAATTTATTGAGCTGGCATTGTAAAACATAAAATCATATTTTTACTGTGGGACTCACACACACTAAACAAACAAACAAAAAACAGCAAAGAAACCCCTCATTACCCCCAAGCTAAGAATATTTTCTTTTAAAAGTCAGATTATTGCAACTGTGGATCTGTAAGTAAGATTATGTGCTTCCAGAACTGGCCTTTCAGAGGCCAACAGGGTAAGTGTTAATGAACCGTGCAATGTTGGGTAAGAACAGAACAGATGTTTGCACAGCCATCAGGTAGACCTTTGTTTATATAAATGCACCACAGTAGATAATACCTAATACCTTTCTCATGGCTTAAAATAACCTTCCCACTAAAAATACAAACAGGCTTTTCCCCAGTTGTGAACATGCTTAAAATCTAATTAATACACAGCCGACTGCAAACCCACCAGACTGCTCAGGCAGGGTCGGACCTGTCACCCAGCGTCACCTCTTTCATGACACAGCCTTAATCTCCTCCTTTGTCCTTATATTGCAGTTTTTGCTCTAAAGGTTTCTGCACTAAAAAAGTGGGGAGGTGAAGCCGTAGTTCAATTCAATTTATTTTTATATTGCCTCTCATACAAAGTCTTTCAAAACTCTTTATAGTGAGAGATAAAATAATCATATAACGCTTGCCAGAATTCAGCGCTATGACTTTTACGCTCAGGGCAAAAGCTACGTACCAGGAAAGTAAAAGTAAGAATATTTAGAAACAAAGAGAAGATTAATAAATACATATTGTTCCTGCACTGTGGGAGACGAGAGAAGCACATTCCTATCCTGGTGTATTTGTAGCCTTTCCTTTATTTTGGAGGGTCCCAACATAGAAGGGCAGTTGGAGAGGGTGAGAAGGGTGTCACTCAAAGGAGTCCCTTCCAGCTGTGCTGGGCACAGAAACATCAGTCAGTTGTTTTCCTTCATATGGAAAACCCAGTTTTCATTCAGAAAACAAGAACACTTCAGCTTGTTCTAAGAAAGGAATGGAAAAATGCACCAAGTCACCCACACTCATCATCTGACAAACACAATGCAGGAGTCGCCCCACAACCAGGGAGGAAAAGATTTTTGCAAAAGACGACCAGAAAAAGCAAAAAATATTTATGGCAACACCATTATTCTAATTAATTTAAACTATTTATAAACACTTATTGTTCAAAAACATTACCCTATAATAAGTAATGCAATTATTTATGTGGATAACCCTGGAACCAGGTATACACCACGTCCTTGCAAAACAACACAATCAGCAGTCATTGAGTGGACTCTGTTTACCCTGCTATACCCATCAGATCTAGGAAATAAGCACCAAAAACTGCCTCTTGAGCTCCCAAAGTAACCCCATATCTACCCTATATCTAAACAAAACCTGAATATCAGCATGCTCACCGAGTTTAACCCAGCATAACCTCAAGCAGCGCAGGAGAAAAATGCTCCTGAAAAGACACTTATAATTAAAGAAAGCATGTTATAAATTCTATGATACAGTCTTAAATTGTCATTGTAAAAGTTTACTACATCTTTGAGGTCCATCGATTCAGAAGCCCACACATAAAGAAGCCTGGTAAAAGAGCATCTAAGAAAATATTTGGGCAACAGCTAATATTTCTTCCCACCTGTCTTCATGCCCACACCATTCAACACAGGCCACATCTTTATAACACACAGTAAGAAAACACAATATATAGTAACTCATTTTCTGACCTTTTAATATTTCTGCCATTGATTGTCAGAAGTGAGGACGGCTCTCTATCCTAAGGTGATGGATTATTTAATTAACTATTGACCTTTTCAGTATCAGATGTTGACAATGAATTCACTCCTGTGTAAGCTGCCTCCTCTGGATGCTGCTCAGTTCTCCAATGCACATGGATTTGTCTCACATTTTGGTTTTAAGTGTAACATTTCTATTATTTCCATCTAAAAACAAGTCAAAGTCTTGTATTTAATGATGAATACTTTTGTGATCTACTGCTTTGTGTTTTCTTTTGAACTGTACTTCTAGTGGAATTTATGTGCATATTAACAGAGCTGCATCTTTCATAAATAAAACAATTTCTACTGCTTACCTATGACTTAGGTTCCTGGCGTGCTTTCAGGACAATTTCTGCACCAAGAGGCAAAGAAGCCAACCCAGAAAGGAGAAATTGTTCATCATCTGTGCACACGGGTCAAGAGACGTCCCAGACTGAAAATTGTAGCAAACATTTGATATTAGGCTTTGCCTTTGGGCCCAGCAAAGACTCCAGCCAGGAACATGACATTTACACCAAGCACCTTTAAAAAGAAAGAATTTCACTACTTTCCCACAAGACACGCAATGTGAAGCTTTGTTTATACACAGGGAAACTGACTTAAGGACTTTTCTCCCCCAAAATAAAGAATCCAGATCCTCATCCTGGAGATCTGGTATCCCAGTGCTCTGTTCTCAGCAATTACGTATTCAGCTACAATCTTTTTATAAGCAAACAAGGTATTTTCCTCCACAAGCTTGTTGTTGGAACCAAACGCTGAACAAATGATCCGTGCCTCCAGGTTGTCAGAGAGATTTACATGTGACTACACAGCAGTTTGGGTATTCCACTGTGATTTCTCTCCAGGACTGAGAGAGCTGATTAATCCAACATATTCCTGGTAAAAACCACCCAGCATTTCTCCAGCAAAAAAAGTTCCTAGCCTGGAACACCTTTGTAATAAATACTCTGTTCTGATTTCATCTGTTCACTTAGAAAATACATATTTGCCAAACCAAGCAGGAACCGGAGAGAAGTTTGGGTTCTTTTTTTTTGCTAAACAGACAATAATATTTTTTCAAGGTGTTCCATTTCCTAATTATTTTGGTAACTATTTAACCATGAAACCACTTCATAGGAATAATTCCACAACGTAACCCTTCACCAGCAAATAATAATTAACACATTTCTAGAAGGTCGATTTACAACAAACCACATTCTCATTATTTTATTTTTTTTTAATCATATTTTTTTCTGTGAAACCAGCAGCACACAGCAGTAGTAAATATTCCTGTGGCTGATGGATTTGGTAAGTGGTTTTAATCAGGAGCTTTCCTTCTGCATCAATCAGCCTTCCCCGCAACCCAGGAGAAACCCCTGCATATGTCATCGATACACCCAGATAGCGCAGCTCTAAGTCTGATTTTTTGTGATGTTAATACAATATTATGATAGATATCTATTAGTGGGGAGAGCAGAGCAGCAGACAGACTCCAGCTCCTCTGACAGCGGCTGCTCTTTCTTTGTCAGTGTCAATCCGCGCCGGAATCGCGGGAAATGAGCGAATGTGACAGGAGAGGACCGCTCCAATTATGGATGAAGGGATACTATCTACTCCCACTGGTTGATGTGATTTATTCGACGGTCCTTCTGCATTTATAGAGCAGCAGATTGTAGCTGCTTATGAAGTGACAAATAGTGCTCAATGACATTGACTGACTTGTCTGATCAATTTAGCTCGTCTGAAGAGCGGCCGCGAATCGCTGTCCTCGGTGAATGGCGGCACCGACGGTGCCGGCTCAACTTCACCGACCTGAAATCTCAAATGCCATTAGAAAAACTATTAAAGAGGGCTCCTTTTAATCAAATAGCACCGCAATTCCGTACAAAGGATGAAAAATAGAAACCTTTCCCACAGCTTTGCTTTGAAACGCACCTCACTTAAAGAATGCTTTGCCTTCGAGACCGTGTCAGGAGAACATTTTTATTATTTTATACGTTCCTGAATATTTGATATATTTTGGTGGAGAAGTAATGTATCTGACAGAGGGGAAACAAGTGAAGTTTTCTTGCAAGAACCAACAAAGCAACTTCTCATGTTTTCTAGAAAAGTTGCCAACTGTTTCAATTTTACTGAGCCTTAAGTCATTAGACTAATTTTAAAATTCAGAGCTCCTGAAATCTGGTGATGATGTAATCCAACTTTAATATTAAAATCATGAAGGAAAAGAAAAAACTAAATTCCTGATCTTGTGGCCAGAAAGCAACTTAAAAATGTGGTTTTTGTGAATGCAGTGCAACCAAAATCCAAAATAAAATTGGGAGCCAAGTTACAAATGCTGAAGGGTGTTTGTGGATTCTCAGAAGTAACCTTAGGACTACTGGAGCCTGGCAGGACTTTTTCACACTTGGGTTTGACGGCACAGGAATTTCTTAGAAGTCTGGCTCATTTTGATAGAACTGTTGCGTTAATACCCTAATATTGAAAACTGTCAAACTCTCAGTGGCTGGAAGCCCTCCTGGCAGAGAGAGTTGTTAAATGGGGAGAGGTGGCAGAGCCAGGCTCTTGGGTGCCATAGAATTCCCACTGTTTTCCTGAACCTCAGCACAGCCCTTCCAGTAACGCTGGAATTACATGATAAGGTAATTTGGCATTTGCAGAGGCCTCAAAATAATTCTTTTAAACAAACACAGAATTAAAAACCATTGAGAAACCGTTAACAATTGTATTTTATCTAGCATTAGATTAGTAGTTTTATAAAGTCATAATGTCAGGTCACACCTTATAAATAATGCTTATGATATTTCTTATATGAAGCAGGCACAGGAGTTGCCTGTGAATGGCAATTCCGTGTATAAATATATACAAACTTGTGAGGGAGTCTACACACAGATATCAATATATATATGGCCATAGCACAAATAAATCAATGTCTGCATGTGGGGGGTGCCTGTGGGCCGTTCATTATATATTACAATATTAAACTGTTATCCATGCACAAGTATATTTATGTATATATTTCAATTTATTAGAGCTAGGCAGGCCTTTACAGACTTAATAAAGAGCACCAGCATTATAAGCCAAGAACCATTTTTCCCTTTCCCTGTATTATTCAAATTTATTAAACAATATTTCACATTTGTTTGACACAATGTCAAACTCGGGACTCCTAAAGAACTGCTGCAGCTTTGGAACTGTTATGCTTTCTTGGACTTTAATCATTTTTGGCAAGGCTCCATTTCCTGTCAGAAAGTGAAACAGCTTAGGAATGTCATTTTCACGAAAGAAAACAGAGAGAATCCGAGAGGAAGTTCTCCTCCACTCCAGAGCCCCTAAGATACTCAAACACACTCGCAGGAGGGCTGGAATACATCAAACATTAGCAGAGGGAAAAGGACACACTTTTCCCACATTAAAATACATGGATAAAGTTGAACTTTTGCTAAAAATAGTTCCCATGACTAATCCTATTAAGTTTTTAAAAAATTGGGCTGTATCTCCCTTGAAGTCAAATTGTTTTTTAACTTTAGAATGACATTAGAAAAAGACTCTAAAGTGCCTTTTGCTTAAGTCAAAGTCCCTGGAAGATTATTTTTTCTTTTCTGTTTTTTTTTTTTTTTTTTTAAGTGAGATATGAAAAATGAGGACAGGAGCATGGATCACTCTTCTAAAAGGGCAATTTACCTATTGAAGAGGTGAGGAGGATCAGTCTCTCCCAGATCATCGCTGGTGATTTAGCGTTTGAAAGAGGCTCCCTACAGAGGGAAGAGGTTCAAGGGAGCAGACACAGACCAACCTTTCCCTGAGCCAGCTCAGTGCCTGCAGGAGCTGAGCTCAGCCAAACAGGCAGGGATGGAGGGAGCCCTGGAACAGTTTTGGGCAAGAATCACCTCTTTTCTTCCATCAGAAGGCTGGTTATGTAAAAACCACCTTGACTGCTTGTTGTGACGGGGAAACAAGTAATGGCCAGATGGATTTTGAGAACACATCCCACACCCCAGCAGGAAAAACGCTGCACCAGGAAAGTTAGCAGTTCCCACTGCATTGTGGCCACGTTGGCACTAAATAGAACTAAGGGCTTCTGACAACCACCAGATCCCTGCACAATTTATGAATCTTATTTGGAGCTCATCTGATGCTTTTCTAGCAGACCAAACACTTCCCAAAGTTTATGGCATCCTTGTTTGTCCTAACATCCCAGACAGAAATCCCAAGCTATGGTAATGCCACGGTAGTTTCAGTGGGAAAGCAGAAGGAAGTTGGCTGCAGAGGAGGGTGAGAATCCATTCCTAAAGGAAAAGCCATTTGCAACAGGATGCCGAGATAAAAAGGATGTTTATCTCATGCAAGGAATTTGACCTAAATCCAAACAACACTCATACACAACTAGGAGAGGCAGGTAGGTTTATCTATCACATTTTCCCTAGAATTGGCTTAAACACCAAGTGGTGGGATTTAAGGAGCCTTGCAAACGTCTTAGCCCTGATTTGGTTGCAATATTTGTTTAAACTTTTGTGTTACAAACCTCAGTGGGGCACAGGCTGCCCTGGAGGCCAGAGCAGTGAGGCCAAGCTGGGAGTGCATCCCAAAACTCTGATCCACAGGATCCAAACACAGGAAGAGAGCACCCAGCTGGCAAAAGCTGAGCAGAGTGTGACATGGTCAAGGAAAAGATAAAATCCTAAAGGGAAAAAATATGATCTATACCATTGAAAAGTGTGCATATTTCTAGCTCAGTCACAAAAAAAGTTCAGGAATTGGTATTGATGAAATTAGAATTAGTATTAATTACTCACTCTCCTAACAATAAATTTGCACATTCTGCAGTTTGCTGGCTTTTTTTTCCTATGGATAGACGAGCACAAGGGGAAGAGGAATGGAGGGGTCACAGGAGCTGTCTGCTTCCATAAACCTTCACATCTCCCTGTTTGAATTCATTCTCCATCTACCTTCAGTTCAACACTGAACAAGGAGCAGACACAACAGCATAAACCTCACTCAGGTTTGTACAGGATGGGACACGCAGGCATTCTCTTTGGAAAGGGAAAGAGGAGAGCAGGTTGTGGTGGGAAAACCACCCCCCTTGCCTGTGCTTTTCCTCTCCATCTCTCAGGCAGCTGGGTCAGGTACAATGGGGTGGTCCCAGCATGTCCCCCACACACCAGGGGACTGTAAAAACTCTCAGCATCAGCCTACATCTGCTGGCCTTGAAGCCGTGCCCCCCACCCACACTTCCATAGCAGCTGAGTGAGGTCAATCCCCAAACACTTGTGAACACGTCGCTCCTTCCCACCCCCCCGAAGCCCCTTTGGCTGCATTGTTTTCTTTTCTGCCCCCAGCTGAGCTTTCATGGTGCTCTCTGATGTTTCTGCAAGGAATAACTCATTCCCCCAGCCCAAACCTGTGCAATAGGTAGCTTTGCAATTTTCCTGTAGCACCACTGCCAGTCATCCTGACATTCCTTCATTTTCCTCAGACCAGCCTGACTGCTGAATCTCTAATTCCAACCCAGCACATGACATTTGTTTGTTGTCAAAAGTATAACTTGGTTGCACTTACAATAACGTCTTGCAGCAAGTTAGTCACATTCCCAGTCACTTATTTTCCAGCACAGACTACAGGTTTCCATGGCTATATTCCACAGGAAAAAAAAAAAAAGAAAGAAAGAAAAAAAAATTCCAATTTCATGTGTAGATTAAATACTTCAAAGTCTCAAACACTCAAGCCATCACTAACACATGCAATAATATAAACTGGAATGAATTTCCAGGATGTAGTAGGCTGAAACACAGCTTTTGGAGCGGCAGGGTTGAAGTGCACTTTGACACCAGCCCTCCCCATCCCGTCTCCCCACGCCAATTAAATCCTCCTTACCTCACCTTCTTCCCATGGCTGGCCCAGTCTCACAGCAGCTGGCAATCACCAATTAACACCAGAGCCCATGAACTTGTCCAACTGCAGCTCTGCCTGCACTTCCAACCCATCACCATAGCATCGGTTTATACTGCAAACCCATGAAGTCAACTCATTACATGCTCCTCCAAAAATCTCCCCGTTCTTCAGCACCATTCTTCATTGAAACTTATCTTTACCTTCATTGTATCTTGTATACTTCCCTGCATGTTAAGGAAAATACAAAATCATTTATGTTGGGAAAGCCCTCTGAATCATCAAGTTGAACTGTTAGCCCATCACTGCCAAGCCCAACACTAACCCATGCCCCCAAGTGTCACATCTACAAGTCTTAAATCCCTCCAGTAATGGGGACTTAAAGTTTATGAAGGATTATGTGATAAATCGTTGTTAAAAGTTTTGTTTGTATTGTAGGAGGAGCCTTCAATTTCTATTGGGAGGAAGGATTCTGGAGAGCAAAATCTATACCTGGAGCTATACTTCTATTTTTCTGTACAGTTAAATACATGTAAGGACTTACTGAACTTCTTGAATTTAATAAGAATTAAAAAAAAAAAAAAGATAAAATAATAAACCATACTGTTAATTAGCTGTTAAGCAACGATCACCATGCCAATTCTTCTTGATAAGCTGTGTCACTTAAATCCCAGCCATTTCCCACTCCCATTGCTATAGGTGTCTCTCAAACAGCAGTTCACACATTACACTTGGCCCTCCTCCCTTCTGTCCCAGCCTGGTACCTCCTCGAGGGTGTCACACGCAGCCATCCATTTATCTTCCCATTTATCAGCTTGCTGAGCCATTCAAAGATGGGCAGAACTTCTTGAGGCCTCCCCCCTTTTTCTTCTCTCCCCCTACCCAAATTTCCATTTATATCTACATTTTTCCAAGCCCACCACAACCTAATGGGCAGGAGAAGGCCTGAACCCCAATTGTTTAACAATGCCTTGAGGGGCTTATTCACCAAAGTTCGACGCTCTGACAAACAGCTTGCTGCAGCTCTAATGGTAAGGCATATAAAATGCATCATACATTAAATTTAATGTTGCCTCATTAGTCTTAATTAGATTCCTACATTACACCAGGATTATAGTTTCTTCGTGTTTATGTTTGCTCCCAAAATAAAGTCTACACTAGACAACAGTTTGGTGTACTTTCTAACCATCGAATAAATATGTCCTGGATAGATACCTATGGATACTCTTAACCTAGAAAAAAAGTAGAAAGAAATTAGGTGGTGTTACAAATGCCTTTTAGACAGAAAGACTGCTCAGAGTCAGTTACAAATGAATAAATTTAAAGAAAAAACAGAGCGTGCAAGTATTAGAAATTACCTACTATTTTGAAGGCTAAACAGTGAAAGGAAAGGAAGGGACTGTTTGCTTCAAACCAGTGGTAGCTTTCCTATTTTTATGGATGCTTTGATAAATTGCTCTCATACTAATTAATTTTGTCTTCGGGATTAGATTTTTTGCAGTTTATTTACTTTCAGTTGTAAAATCTGTTTCCAAGTGATGCCACTAATTCATCTTTGGAACTTGGTTCCAAACACCAACAGAGCTCATCCCATGATTAGTCAAAATGACCTACACCAGGACCACAGAGGTGAACAGTCTGTTTTTTTTTTTTTTAATGGAGCATCCCATTTTTCTTCCTGCAATTAATTTAACAAGCAATTTTAGATTTTAAAAAGTTTGGAAAGATACAAGTTATTTGTTAATGTCAAAATGAAGCTTGATTGTTATTAGCATTGAAAAGGTGAAAGTTGGTTTACCAAATGTTGCCATTCTTAATATTTTGTCTCATATCTTGCCATGAAATAGTTCAACCTCTTGAAGCTATTTCTCACCCAGCTCAGAGTGCAATTCATACAAGTCCATCTCTATATTTCTGACTGATTTGTCCAAGCCCCCACAGTAGTATAGAGCAAAGAGAAGTCAATTAACATTATTACTAGTAAGTGTTCTGCTGATATTTTTAAGATTATTTCCTTTCATGTCCCATACCATTAATTTGATAAAATTTAATAAAATTTCATTTGAATTTGCATGTGGCCTGGTTTACTTGTTAATTAGAATTTGAAGAATATTATTGAAAAGACAGTGCAAATCTGTACATTTCATTTGCTTAAGGGTTTAAAAGGAATTATTTTGTCCTGTTTGGATTTACCCTTTTAGAAATCTTTGCCCACAAAGCAAGCATTTTAGGCTTCTTAATATTTCAGTTGGCCCTACCAGGTACACTAAAATAACATTATTTCCTCTGAGATAAAACAAGCTGACTTAGGCTTTGAAAAATCATTTCCTTGGTTCAGGAAATGGGGAAAGTGCTTAGGAAAATTTTCAAGAAATAACTGGCTTTAAAAGTAGATCAAAGTCTAAATATTTGTTTCACAGATGATACTGAAACAATTATTTAAATGACGAAGAGTGCACATGTACTGACTTTGTTCAAACTCAGATTTAAACTTTTCATCCATCTACACTACAGTAGCATATTTTCCTTAGGAATGACATCTTGGGAAAGGACTGTACAACACAAAAAGGAAAAGGTTTACATTTTCTGAAATCCCCTAATCCTGCCTTTTTGCAGTCTCTCCAAAAATTGTTACCTTTTTCCTGAGGGGATAAAAAGCTCAGTGGTTTCTTCAGTTCCTGGGGCAAACTGCAGCTACAGAGCAACTTAAATCCCAAACAAATCAACCAAAACCCCAGAAACACAGAAAACCACCATTCTTCATCATGAATCACAAAAGAATAACAAAATCTATCAGTAAACATGGATGAGGACCTATCAGTGGGCTACGGATGAATTCACAGGAGGAAGGAAGACTGGATGCATTATGAACATATCTTTAGCAGCTGATATCATGCATAATTACAGCACAGTGCTGGGCACCTGAAAGAAATTTTGGAGAGGAGAGGTGAAAAAAGCAGTTACTGAATGATGATCTGCTATTTAGAAGCTGATGCCTAGGAACATACACTCACTTTTATCTTGAAACCACACAAAGTGTTTCAGAATGGGTAAGACTTAACAGAACTGTTTCTTCTGCCAAAAAGGCCCAAGAAAAGTCAACTCTGTCTCTTGCGTGGGTTGGCTGCAAGGCAGGATGCAGCCAGGCAGGACACATTCACCTCCCTCCACTCTTGCTCACACAACCTCCAGTACAAAATAATAGATGTTGTAGGAAGGCTGTGACTTTTTGTCTTTTTATTGCCTTGCTGCCTTGGCCCGCTGGCAGCAAGGACAGCCAGCCATGCTGGGCTTCACTGGGAAGGGCTCCCAGCATGGCTGGAACTAGATCCATGGAGAAGGGGAGCGTGTGAACCCCAGGCACCCCACGCTGCAGAGCAGACCTCCAGATGTTGGAAGAGCAGCTCATCCCGCTTGGCGAGCGGTGGAGGAGGCGACGAGGGTGGTGATCCTGCCGTCGGGAACGGCTCTGCTCTGCAGAGCTGGCAGGAGATGAGAGGTATGTTCTGCTCTGCAAAGAGCTGCAGCAACTTCCTCCGGATCAACGGGGAGCTGAGCAAAGGGCGGCTGCACTGTAAATCACAGCTCCAAGGCTTCCACAGGTGAGGCACAGCTGGGCACACCACGACGGAGCAGGCAGGGTCTGGTCCAGCCCATCACCAGGCTGGTTGGATCCAGACCTTTCATTTTCCTGGCTCTGTGTGAGGGGGATCTATCACCTTCCTGCTGGATTTCTTTTGAGACATAAAGAAAGCTCTGGGACAGCACCCAGAAGGGGATTAATTATTTTATTCTGCCTTCCCAAACAAGGTTCGAGCGTTTCCGGGATCAGCCGCGCTCCTTGCACGCACATGAGCTGTTCTGGCAGGGGCGCCTCAGCCCAATTTAGTTTGAGTGACAAAAGTTAATTTTATTGATGCACAGCCTTCTGTGATGCTAGGTAGGAGGTCCGACAATGCAAATCAAACTGCTTCTCCCAAAATATCCCAGTGATTGATAATGAGGCAGTGATGCAGATTTCTGACACTTTTGATCCTACCATAAGTAAATGCTAAATTTAGCCCCAAGAATTTAAAAAGCTAATGCTTTAAAAGTGATCAGCGAAAGATATACATAGTTTAACAAAGTCCAATGTTATTCAATGAAGATTTCTTTTTTATCAATGCCAAAACAAAGCTGTAATAAGCAAGATTTCAGAAATAAGGGGGAAAAATTAACTTGAAAAAAACCTAGGCATTGAAATCTGTCAAATATGCTATTCAAGTTAAATTTCGCTTCCAAGTGGAAGGTTATATACTGTATCTTGATTTCACTACAGTATATCTACAAACATATATGTGTCAACTGTTCTGCAAGGTGCATAAGGGACATATCCAGAAGCATTTGAACAAGGAAGATGACTGACATTTACAAAAAAACCTTTATTATATGTCTATATTTTGTTTCATTAATCATGCATGTTCATTAACCAATCATGGTAATTTATTATGCACTGTTTGGAGACATGTTGCATTACAATGGTGTCATTGTCACTTTGATCATCTAAAGATCTCACAGGATGACATTTCCAACCACAGGACCTGGCTGCTCTGTACGTGCTGCATGAATATGTACTAGAGACTCAGAAGTGTTCAAAAAGAAAAGGAAAAAAAAAACCAACAACAAACCTGCAGTGCAACAGTGTTTGCAAGATACAGAAATTAATTATGTAGCTCAAAGATAACAGCCCACAAATTAGGTAGAAATATTCAGGTGAAGTGATTTGCACATGATTTTAATAGTGGATAAGCACCAAAAGGAGACAGTATTCATTTTGTCATGTAATATTTGATCATTAAGTGTTTTGCTAGGTTGTATCATGTTCCATCTACACAACAATCTGAAAAACATGCTCTTTACAAAACAACCTAAAAATGTTCTCAAAAGACCGGGCTTTTATCACTACCAGCTATTGCGTTTTTATAGCAAGAAACTAAATATATGTTTACCAAAACATATATTAGAGCCACCACTACCATAATGCAGTCCTTCTTTTCTCCTCAGTCTGAGGTCACTGCAAGAAGTGTTGTGAACCTGAGCAATACATAGAGTCTGATTTTATGGAACCAAGGTTTACTACTTCTCCACTGCTCATTTCTGCCTTCTATTGCACCTTTCATAAACCTACTGATTAATATCAAACAGTGAACAACTCTGACAAGCAGGATTACTAATCCAACATAACTG